GACGCGAAACATGGTGTAAAATATGAGTAACGAACATCATCCATTTCCGGACGTACCAAGGGGAACGAGACGAGTAAATTACTTGAGTCATATAGAACAAACGATCTCAATTTGTGTCGGCAGGAAACTTTATTCTGTCGTTTGCTACTCGTTGAGTACAGTGTGAAAACGAACACAATTTTCTATTTCCTAGCTGCAATTGCGTTCGAGCAAATCGACCAAAACTTGTAAGAAATATAAAGAAACGACTCCAACTCGATGAAATTGAAATTTTCGCGTTAACGCGAAGCTAATGAAGAATGCACATTAACAAACTTTCTCCGGCAAACAGTGTACTATGATACAAGATTCTTTTGTCGTTTATTCGAGACACGTTGCCTTCATTAGATGCGACCGAATTTCAATAATTCCGCGATGTACGGGTTTAAATAACAAATAACAAATTTAGGTCACAAGCATTTAATTTGATATATGCTTATTAACTTCGATTCTCGAATCGTCACGATAATTGGGAGAAACGGATCGGAATCTAAAACATAAAATGACACGTTGAAATGAATCTGCGTTCCCCACTATATAAATTATTAATAAATATGTATAAATTGTCATTTTCCAGTTCTATTATCTCTTTGTTCTTTTTACTTATTTTACACTTTGTACACGTCTATCACGGTATACTTTTCCCACCCACGTTCTTTTCGCTTGCTGACCTTTTATTACTTTATTATTTATATTAATTCGCGTAGAGCACAAAGGACGATAATCTTGATAAATAGATGTTTGTAACAAGGGAGTAAAAGACACCGGTTTTCTAATGTTGCGAATATCAGGTTCCATTAAACTGCGCTCGAGTATCAATACGTGTCATCGATAAATTCTCTTTTGATGAAAGAGATGAAACCGAATCGTTGTGCAATCTTGTACACGTGTGTTTCAGGTACATTAACAATATAACTATTGAACAAGCGTCAAGACACTTGTTGAGATGTCTGCGAATTTGCGAACGTTTGCTGATTTATCGTGTCATAGAGCATGAAACATGAAAGAAGGCAGTTTTTTAAAATTTTGTAAAATCTGTACCACGCACTACTCTACTTTCTTTAAGATATGTCAATTTTCTACCTACTATACTACGTATTATAGATTTTTACAGATTTCTATGTATATATATTCTATGTATGTATATCCATTCCGCAAGTAGATGCACGAGAATTGTAAGAAAATAAATTTTTCCTTCTGCTACAAGAATAAAAATTTCAAAAAAGAGGATACGCGCGGCAGCGTATGGTCCTTCGTTCCTGCAAGATCCTCGTCGCGCATGCGTACGCTGACCGCGAACTCCTACACACGGACAGCATCGTCTACTGAAGATATAAAGTACGAAGTACGAGCGTAGAGTCACCGCGAATTTGTCGGCCGTCTCAGTCGCGTTCGGCGCGTCGTACGAGCAAGTGTGTTTTCGTTCGTTTTCACTCCGTTCCCGTAATCCTCAGTTTTCTTTTTTTAATTTTCTCTCTCAATCGTTTTCTAGTCCCTCGTCCAGTCTTCCTCGTCGAAACTTCATCTTTATCCCGCGATTTTTCTATATTAATCGGACGAGACGGCAGTCCGTGAAACAGCATAATCGAAAGGGCAAAATGTATCACACTTGAAAAACGGATTCTAGTCGAAGGTGAAAGAACCACCGCTTGTTTTACTTCTCTTTTCTTTTAAAGAAATCGTTAGCACAAAGAGATTGGTAGCGCAAGAAATGTCACGTGTTACCTGTGATAATAAAGACGAATTTGTTACGTCTTCCATTGGGATTGAAAAATCATATTCATCCAATTGACATATCTTCTGCTAATCATCCAAGGAAGCAATATGAAGTTACGTTTGGATTAAATTAAATTAATAGCGAGATACGACCAACTTTCATTCAAAGATATAAAGTTGAAACAAGACCTGCTTTCGATCAAAGTCAATCTTGGGAACAGTGTCCACGCGAATCAATCTTCCCCGCGAGGGACAACCGTGTGTTCCAAACGGTGTATAATACATAGCCAAGAGGTGACGTTGAGAATATTTCTTTTGCAACATCGACCCAATTGACAAGCACAAAAGTAAAAGAACGTAACCTGTTGCGGAACGGATTGCCAACGTGCCGTCGTTCCTTGCAAGTATGACATTGTGCATTTCGGTTTATTAAGCGTGAACGTTGAGACAGTTTTCTTTTTTTTT